TTACGTTTTATGTTGTACAGTACACACAGCATTTATGTTGGTTTGTATTCATTTATACAAATACTATGGTTCACTGTTAATGTATAGAATTTTTTATGTCAAAAATATATTGATGCTAACATATAAATCCTTACGGTAATGTTTGTATGAATGTGAGGTTTGTACTGGCATGGCCATATCTGTAAGGTTTTGGGGTGTGATATTCTGCTCTAACAGTGTGTGTGTGTTCTTCATGTGGAGTTACAACCACATGTGTAAAGAGTTTGTGAGCCCTGCTGAGTCACACATCCGGGGTGGACAGGTGTGGGGTCTCTTTTGAGATGACTATTGCAGGAGCTGTGCTGCAGAACACCAGGAAAAACAAAACTTTTACAACACACACCACTGAAAGTGCCTTCTTAAGGGTGCTGTAGGGTGTGCACTGACCTATTGGTTAACTGGTTAACTACTTATGAACTTGCACTACCATTACAAAATTTGAGGTTGGTCAGATTTTTTTAATGTCTTTGAAAGAAGACATTTTTGAAAGTCTCATACGCTCACCAAGGCTGTATTTGTTTGATTAAAAATACAGTAAAAATTGTGATATATTATTAGAACTTAACTATTTTCTATTTCAATATATTTTAAAATTTAACACATTCCTTTAATGGCAAAACTGAATTTTCAGCATCATTACTCCAGTCTTCAATCTCACATGATCCTTCAGAAATCATTCTAATATGCTGATTTGCTGCTCAAGTAACGTTTCTTATTATTATCAATGTTGAAAATAGTTGTGCTGCTTAATAATTCTGTGGAAACTGACAACAACAAAAAAACAGCATTTATTTTGAAATACTAATCTTTTGTAACATTTTAAATGCTTTTATTGTCACTTTTGGTCAATTTAATACATCTTTGCTGAATAAAAGCAAAAAAAAAAAACATACCGACTCCAGACTTTTGAACGTAGTATTTATTTTGGAAGATATGGACACCTTTTTTAATGTAGGTATGTAAACATGTATATATGCAGTGTATATTTGACCCCCAATAAGGTCACAGCACTGCACCCAGGAAAAGTGCTGACTCGCTGCTGGCTAAATCCTGCCAAGACCCCCTATCAACATCCCACACCTTATCTACAGTGGGCAGAAGTGCTACCAACAGCTGGTTCTGAGAGAAAGAAACAGCCGACCAAACAAGTCACATCAAGGGTTTACCGGGCCTCCAAAATTGAAAGGCAGTACAACACTGCAAGAGACCTATAAAATATAATTTCTGGTTGAAGAGTTGAACTGAATTGGCTAATATATGTAAGGGATGGTGTAAAGTCAACCTGTCATTATTAAACAATACGTCTCAGATTAAGGAGTATTTCTTGATAATGACTGTCTGACTGTACATTATAGCACTTCTTATCATTTAAGTAGACATGACATATTGATTTGAGTTCAAATTATTCTTTTTATTTGAGAAGTAAGAGAGTGAAAAGTAGAGAGCCATGACAGAAACACTGTCAGTTATATTTGAACACTGAATGCCACAACTGTCCAATCAAAACCAAGTATTTCAGACAGCTATTTGATCAAATAAAAATCTATACTATGCACTAACCCATTTATAATTTTGGGGTCAGTAGACTTAAGAAATGAATACTTTTATTCTGCAATCAAATCAAACAATTAAAATCAAATGTGACAGTAAAGACATTTATAATGTTAGAAAATATTGCTAATTCAAATGTTGTTGTTTTAAACTTTCTATAAGAATTTTGAAAAGAATATCTATCATGGTTTACACAAAAATATTAAGCAACATATAAATATTACATTATTAATATAATAGTACATTTGGAAGGTTTTTTACCATTAAGTTAAAAGTCTCCTTCAAACATTTCCATGTCAGTCGTACAGATTTCTGTACAGTTTATAGAAAAACTGACACTCAAGAAACTCTTTAAACTCTGAAATTGTGCATCCTGTTCACTGATTTCACTGATCCAACACAGATAACAACCCCCCCACTTTTCGCTACGGAAGAATCACACAAAAGAAATGTGTTTTATCTGTGCTCAAGTGAGATCCACGGAGCCCTGAATGTGCTTGTGTGGAGAACCTGGTCCGCGCCTCTCACTACTCACCAAACATCACCATAACCTAAACACACACACACACACTTAACATTTAAGTTGGGTTTGTGTCTTCTTTTGTTGGGGGATGCAGGGTGCATGGTGTACCCCTCCCTAAACCAAAAATATTACCCCACGCAGACCCCTCTCCCCCACCCCTGACAGGCTGTAACACCGCTGCATTGTCTGAAGGGCCAAGACAAGCCGCTTGTTGCTTGCCTTCTGTCTGTGTGCGCAGGGTGCTCAACAATGGCTGTCTTTTAAATGAGGCAGACAACTGAATGAAAAAAGACGTCGTCCCTCCAGCCTGCTTTTCTCACCTTTTATCTGCTCAGCCCTTGTACTTTTTCTTTTTTCCTTTCTCTTTCATGTAGGACTTAATGCTCCTTTCATTCCCTCAAATTCTTTACATCTTAACTGCTGGCAGCAATTGAATTTCGAGCCCTTTTTTGACTTTTATGAAACTGTGGTGTAGGGGCCAAAATGAAATATTTTATTAAAATGTTAATATTTAGGTATGTGGTAACACTTTATTTTAGGGTCTCTTAACTAGTTGCTTATTAACATGCATATTACTAGAATATTAGCCATTTATTAGTACTAATTAAGCACATATTATTCTACATCCCTAATCCTACCCAATACCTAAACTTAACAACTATACCTTACTAACTATTAATAAGCAGCAAATTAGGAATTTATTGAGGGAAAAGTCATAGTTAATAGTGAATAAGTGTTCCCTATTCTAAAGTGTTACCAGGTATATTAATGTTAATATATATACATAAATGTTAGTATTATTACATATTATGTTTATATTTATTGATTAAAAGCACAATTTAATGACATACATGCTCCGGTTAACCTGTTTTATTCAAACAAAGAAGAAATGTTTCTGTATGACGGTCACGATCAATTTGAGTTTATTTTCATATCATTTTTAAAATTATCATTATTCTTTATGTTTGGATGTTCCAAAGACCCACATTGTGGAACAACTATAAAAGCAATTTTTAAATCAACCTCATTTCCCCTTCAAATTACTTTAATATGTTGACTTAACACCTACACTCTTAAAAAATAAAGAGCAATTTCACAGCAATGCCATAGAATAACCATTTTGGATTTCCAAATTTCCTAAGACTCTTTCAGTGAACAGTTCTTAAAATAACCCTTTTTTTTGGTGTGAAGAGCATTTTAATAATCTAAAGAACATTTTGTGGAATAAAAAGGTTCCATGGATATTAAAGGTTAAAGGTAAAAGAAATTTGAAAACAAACAAACAAAACTTAAATCAAAATAAGCAACTGCCAACTTCATGGATCACGGCATCTACTGTGACTCCTCTCATATGCCAGCAAACAGAAAGGCCTCTTCCTGTCTGCGCCCCTCTAATGTACATTATATTTGGAGCTGGTCACAGAGTTTGGTGAGGCACTCAGCAGCTATCTGTGTGGGCAGAATCAGTCATACCTCAGTGCAACGGCTGCCCTATTGATGCCATGTGTGTCGCTCTCCCCTAGTACGCTGGCATGCGGCTCCCGCTAACTTCTGTGGTGTTGCTACATATAGAAGCCCAAGCTGGTAACACACTCATTGCATCGAGCCCACTACCCTTCGGCAGAGCCAAATGTTTCTACAGCTGCCCCTTTGTCTCTGCTCCTTGAGTAAACAAAGGACAGATACAAATTAATGACCTAAATTCATAGTAAAAAAGCAAAGAGAGAAAATCATTATGCCCCCGCAAAGCATCAACTGTCCATTCCAACCAGATGTTAGATGCAGATTTGTATGTGAACGTCACAAATCAAATTTCAGCTCTCTGAGAAAATCAGCCAAAGAGTGCACAATATTGTCTAGAAATACAAAACAATAAGGCACTATTCAGACTTCCTCAATAATACAAGCGGAAATGGATCTTAAGTCCAAAACGAGTTTGAAAACTAAATCTCGCACCAATTAGCAGGTGCTGTATGCGTGTGAGGAAGGGGGGCAGGCTTACAGCACGGGACCATCTGTGGCAGTGGCCTGTTGAGTAACGCTCGCTGACTTAAAAGTGGTCAGTCTTTAGTGCATCTGTATAGGCCAGGTTTGCCGAACAGTGAGACATTAGATAAAGCTGATTTGTTTGCTGGAAAACTGTACTTGAGGAGCTTTGGAAGCAGCCTGTGTGTGTGTGATGCAGGGGGAGGGGTTGGTCTTCGTACAAGCTGCTGCACATTTTCCCAGGTCCAACCCACGCCTTTACTGGAGCACCAGCCAGACATTAAAGCAGCATATACACATGAGCCATGCAAGATTGCTTACACTCACGTGCACGCGCACGCACACACACACACACACACACACACACACACACACACACAGTATACTCGATCCACAGACCTAACGCACTGGAAAACATGTTTCCACCCACACAAGCATCTACAGTAAATAATTTTATTGAACTGAATGTAAAAACACAAACACCATCTCACCAATATGCATGTCGTCATTGCTCTGGCAAATCCCGCCAGAAGTTTCTGACAGAAAAATGGCACGGAGAGGTTAAGGTTCTTATAATTTATTGCAGTTTGCACACAATTTAAAAATGTCACCAACAGCACACCAAAAGTACAAAACTAAACAGCCTCAATTTACTTCCCTTGAGAAAATGAAACATACTATGATTGTCAAAGCTAAATGTCTAAATCCATAAAAAGAACAATGTCAACATAGCAAAAAATCTCAGAAGGGAAGCAATTACATGTAAAGTCAAATTATCTTCTTCTTTTTTCCACCCAGACAGCGATTGTCCTTGAATTCAACCGATATTTATTTTCTTCCCCATACTCATTAGCCAAGTTTGAATTTGACAGAGCTGTTCTTCACACTGGGGTTCCTGGGTTTCAAGTCAACTAAAGGGGTGTCTAATTTATGGATATGCTTCATAGGCCATTTCACAGCTTCGTTTCCATTGAACAAAAAAAAAAGTAAAAGAAAGTCATCCAGTATTCCAGCGACAGTTTCCAGTTTTCACCCTCTGAGTATAAGCTGATAACAGTAGTTTAAGGCGGTCAAGTACAATAGAAGCCAACAAAAAAAACAAAGAAAAAGAAAGCATAGAAAACAAATCAACCCCACAGTTGATATTTTTTTCGGTCACATTTTAGAGTGCAAAAGGTAAAAGTACCACCGTGCAAAACACCATGAGGAGCGTGCGCTGTTGGCAAAGCTCAACCTTTTCACTAGCCGTTGCACCAGCCAAATATATGGTAGGAAGGTTCCTGAGGCCTGCGTAGGCCCGTGTGCCGCACACTCCTGTCCTGCTCGAAACATGTGCGGAGCCCCTGGCCCTCTCTAACTAAAGTAGTTCAAGCATTTCAGCACTATGTGAGTGACTGATCTATGTCTTCAGCGCTAAGCCATATGTTTTTCATTTTTCTTTGCTTTTTATTTCTCTGGATTTGACAATGAATTTTTTTTTTTTTTTGTGAAACAAACCAACAAACAAACAAAATGAACAGAATTTTCACATTCTTAATAAAAGAAACCCTAATATAATTTTGCAATAAAAATAAAACATTTTTAGAATAAACATTTTTCAAAATCACAAATGCTGCAAAAAGTTAACAAATGAACAATCACAAATTTGTAGTTCTTTTTTTCAGAGTAACAAAGTCAATTCAATTAGGTTAATAATTAAGCATATACATTTTATAAAGGCCTCTTTTGTACATCATTCTAATTTCATTCAACTTCAAAGGTGCAACCAACCTTGCCAAACAGGTTCTAGTGACCAAAAAAATTCTTACGCATTGAACACAAACACGCGCACACAAACCACTCAGATCAGAGTATGTCGAGCTTTATGCTGTTTAAAGATCCTTCAGCCTCTCCAAATAGATGTGCGCTGTTGAGGACACCCATAAAGAAGAGCTGTACCATCAGCCACACAAATGTGTCTTCATGGCAATCGAATCTGAAGCAAGTGCCAATTGAAAAGATAAATAAATAAATTACAAACAGAGCGGACATGATTCAAATGACAACAGACAGTAAACAAAACACTGAGACAAACAGCAGTTGAGGACCCAGCACACAAGGAGATGCTAAGAGGAGCCACGGTAGCCTTCTGAACAATAAACTTAGCCATTCAGCCTCTGCTGACACCTGGCCCCTCGTTAACCTCCGAATCCTACAGTGAGCCCAAACCGAATCGTGTCGCGCGTGTAGATACTGCAGCCTAACGTCAGTACATTTCCACAATCTTCACAGCCCAGAAAAAAAACACCTCACCAGAACCCTCCGATTCATTTTCTAATGAGAGGAAAAAACTCAAATCTACCAAGGAATCAAATGAGTTAATTAAAAAATACACTCTCTGATGCAAAACAACAACGAAAAAGAGTAAGTTAAATAAAATTCATGCAATTTCTACAGCGGTAATATTAAAGGTACTTTTTTTTTTTCAACAGACAGGTGCCCTGACTGTAATGAATCAGTCAATTACAGTGTACAGCAATACAGCAAGTCACATCTTTTTCAATATACAGGTCAGACATCATGCAACAACAGATTCCGTTTTAAAAATGAAAAATCTTAATAAAACACTACAGAAATCTCTATAAATGCAGCCGATGTAAAATCCAAACTCAGTAGCAAACGAGTGATGTAGAGAGACTGCAACTAAAATGCAAAAAATGACTTCAAATCATATTAAGGATAGAAAAAATGCGGCAACTGATATGAAAAAGGAGGCTGTACATTGCATGAGTGCCTTGTTTGTCTTCCATCAGTCAAGTTTCCTATAACGAGTCAAAAATGTACAAGAGCTTAAGTAATGTGAGCTTAAGAGATTCCTCGTGGGATTTAAAGGACTGACCTGCTCACACACTATGTGTACATGTTTGCGTATGTGCATGAATACACATGCATGCACGGCTACAGTCACACATCAGATATGTTACCTGCAAATTATAGTAGTGCATATATATATATATATAAATACACACACATACTCAAACAAGAGGAAAGTGTGTACAGGTAAATATATGACCATAGTACCCGTTTAGTGTGTCCTTAGTTTTAAACTCCTCTGTCTACAGTATTACCTGAAATCTTCATATGCTTTTCATGGCAGATAATCCTTGAAATTCAGGAGCGTATACAAAAACTGTAAATTATATACAGTTGAAAATCCCAATGAATAATTTTTCTGTCAAAGTTGGTTACTGAGACAAGCACCCATATTTTTAAAAACTCGAGGAGAACAGGGGGGAAAAAAGAGACCCTAAAGGAGACCAGAAAATATATTAAAAGAAAATCAGTAGTAACATTTTCATGTGCTAGTAAAGTGCAATTCAACAAGATTTGCAATGTACATACAAGAAAAATGACTGATTCAGACCCTTCGGCCATCACTCTGCCCCACTCTTACCTTCACCTCTCTTGCCCCAAAAAATGCCACTCAGATCTCTCTCATTAAATTAACAAGCAGTTCAAACAGTCTGCTATCAGTTTAGCTTTCATTTCCACAGTTCTTGTGAACTATCTTCCAGTGCCCAGTCTCTGACCGTGGGAAGATTGAGCGCCTCGCTCTTGACCGAGATCGAGTTGACCAGTTCGCAGTGGAACTTGCGGATGTGTCGGTACAAGTCCCCTGACTGTGTGAAGCGCCGCTCGCACCACTTACAGGCGTGTGGCTTCTCACGTGTGTGCACGACGGCATGCCGGCTCAGGTTGTGCGAGTACTGGAAGCTCTTGCCGCAAGTAGTGCATGTGTAGGGCTTCTCGCCCGAGTGTGTCCGCTCGTGGCGCTTTAACGTGTACATGCAGGAGAAGGTTTTGCCGCAGATGGAGCAGGTGGGGACATTAACATCGCCGGCCGGCTTGGACCGTACACCTTCCTGTTCGCGGAAATGCGTGCTGAGGTGGATCTGCAGGATGTGTGGGCTGGGGAAGACCTTGTTGCATAAGGGGCACAAGAAGATCTGAGTATGTGGAGCCCCCAGCATGCTGGAGACGTAAGGCAACAGGGAGTTCTCAACCCCCGTGGCCTCATGCGCTCGCTCGCTGTCCCCTGTGTCGTCATCGCCTCCTTTGTCATCCCGCTCCAGCTCACTGGCCAGTGAGGCCTCACGCAGGGCCGAGAGGTGAGCCTCCAGGCCCAACCTCCGTTGTGCAACGAGGCTGATGTGATTCCCGTTGATGCTGGGTGGCTCCTTGACACCGCTGTGCTCCATCTCGTAGTCGCCGCTCACCAGTTCGTCATCGTCCGAGCCTGTGTCCTTTTCCACCTTGACTTGAACCAAGGCACTCTGGAGGCTGTCTGGGGTCACAGAGCTGCAGAAATAAGGGTTGCCAGCAATAGTCTCCCCAGGACCTCCGCCCAGACCAGACTTCACAGAGAGGTCAAGCACACAATCGGTGTCAGCAGAGACTCTCCGAGACACCGCTGAGCGATGGGACAGAGAGCCGGTGGAACTGCTGGGGCTGCCGGCAGGAGATTTGCCAGCGTTGGGACCGTGTGTTTCCGCCTCCCTGGGGCTAGTGGTGGGAGACGCGGTCCGGTCGGAAGGCAGACGCATCCACATGCTCCCTGGCTCCTGAGGGCTGTCCCGTTTATTCTCCATGTCCTCGTCGTCGCTCTGCAGCAAGTCGGCGGTGGCCGGCCGGCCCGTGCTTCCACCTTCCGAGAAGCTCTCCACCTTGTCCGAGCAGCTGGAAGCATCCTCCTCCCGCTTGGTGCTGTCGGCCTCAGCTGTGGCCTTCCGCTTGAGCTTCTTCTTGCACACCTTGACAATGTCGTACATGTGGAGGTAGCTGGCAGCAGCCAGCACATCCTCCACTGGAAGCGATTTGAACTGGAGCTTTCCTTCGTACATGAACTCAAGCAGGAGAGCAAAGGCCGGGGCTGTGACAATGTCGCTGTTCAGATGAACAATGTCCCTTTTGTCTAGCTGGTCCTTGTAAAAGAGGTGGAAGTACATGCTGCATGAAGCCAGCACTGCACGATGGGCTCGGAACTGGGCATCACCGACCAGAACAGTGGAGTCACAAAGGAATCCCTGATGCCTCTGCTCGCTCAGACACTGTAGCAAATGTCTGCTGTGGTCTGGAAACTCCATGCTGTCTTCATAACCTGCAAAAGACCACAGATGTTAGTGAGGCTCGCTTGAACAACAATTGTTTTGTCTGAAGCTCTGTGTGGAAATTCTCTCTTTCCCACCCGCTCCGTCCCCCCTCTCTCGCTCCATGCACACAGACATACTCTCACACTCTAATTCTCTCTCCCTCCCTCCACCCCTGTGGGAACACTGGAAAAATGTTCACCACAGTCCTGACATAAAAGGATTACAAAAAAGCACATGCAAAAAGTATAACATCAAAGATTATATATTAGGCTAATTGCATTTTCCTCAAATGTGCACTTTAAAGTACACAATAGTGGGTTTAATATTACATTTTATACTAACCCTTTTAATTAAACGTTTAAAAGCACGAGACCTGGGATATTAATTCAAAAATGTAAATGAAAAATATCCCAATTGTAAATTAAATTTAAAGCAATACAGCCGTGATCATCCCATCAGAATCATTCCGGTATTATCAGATGGCGTGATGTAAGAAGCTGAAGTCCTGATTCCACAGATGCCTGTGCGAGAGAATCTTTCCCGTTTTTCCTCTCTGTGCTCCTGGAGCAGTTATTTATAATAACCCACTTTGGCCAGGATGCTGAGTATAGGTAACAGGCTTACAGGTACACAAACAGCTCACCATCATGGGCACACTGCATAAGTATACTAAGTACCATGATTTCTAAGGTTATGAAAACTGAGGTAGCAGAACATTAGCGTGATGTGCGTAATCAAAGATAGACAGTCTGCAAATAAACTATGCACTAAAAAATATATTATATGAAAAATATTAAAAAAGTTAAAAGTAAAATAAAACGCAAAAAAATATGAAATCACACCTGTTGCCCGTGGAGATCGTTCCCGTCTTAAAAAATGCACCAGCGTCATGTTCAACCAGCGGACTTAAATGAACTCATTTGAATCTTCATTTAAATCTGATTGGGATAGGAAGCCAAAGTCCCCCACCCCACCCCAAACAGCGTTCAGACCTTCATTAATGAGGGGCTTATAGGGGGACAGGGGGATAACAAACCTCTCGCCAGCCCTCTCCTCCCCCTTTTCCCCTCCCCAAATCTTTGGAGAAATGGAACATCCTCCCCAAAGAGGCGGACCACAGCAGATTTACAATACAATCACTTTAAGTGCCCCGTAGTCCACATCAATCCTAATCCTTAAAATGGCTAAAAATAAAGATTGCAGGACAGCTCACAAGGTAGCAGCGATCAAATTAGGAGACTGGGAGGACAGAGAGGGACGGAGAAGGAGGCTTATGAACATCTGATCCAGCTGACTGAGACCATATGGCAGCTGCTGCCCAGATAAAGAGATTAAGACTAGGAGGAGTGCGATTACAGCTGTCTAGCCAATTCAGGCAGCTCAAATCTGCAAGTTCTAAATTAGTCCTTACATACAAGAAAAAAAAAGGAAAGAGTTGAGCAAAAGCCTAACGAAGGGATGTTTGTAAGAATGCATGTTTATATAAAGTTGCAGATTTATTTGGCCAAAAGCATTTCTACATTTTCGGTCTCTTTAGAAGATTAGGAATTTGGTTTAAATGGACTGAAAATCTTGTTACTTAAAAGAAAAACAGATTTTAACAGATTAACAGCACATAAACACAAGAGTTTCTAGTTTTAAATCTACAATACTATAACAAACTACCCTACCAACGCCACTCTATACTGTCACAACAGAGCAACAATTCTGCCATTGAGAATAACTGAAAAGAAGACCTGCAAACAAACCGAATAATGAAACGCTTGCCTGGAAACCTCTTCATGGCAACAAAAAGTGTCACTTGTCCCCCAGCCTAGTTACACTACAACAGCTCGAAATCCTTTACTTCCCATTTCACACACTCTGATGGCAGATGCGCAAAAAGACTTAACGAGAGCTCCCTATTCAAAACACATCCCTGTTGCCCAGACCCCCCGGTACAGTACCTGCAGTACGCATCAACTTGATTAAGTCCACTGTTGTGGTAGCGCCGGCTGTAACTCCCTTCGCTGAATCAATGAAAGGGTAGAGACGTGAGAAAGAGAGAGAAAATCTAACTGTGAGGGACAGATGCAAAGTGGAGGAGATGTTGGAGGGGAATGCGATGCCTCCTCCTGCACACAGATCCGCACACACACTAACTCCCAGTCTGTGCGTTAGAAGAAAAGACTGGGGGATGGCAGCCTGTCAGCTGCTCTGACATCATGTTCAGATGGAAATGCTACCTCCAGCTGTGCTCCTTTTAGTGCCATATGCTACTCCTCTACACTCTTGCCACCAGCTTCTCCTTTATACAACTTTGTTTCTCTTTCCCCCTCTTTAAAAAACAGGAGGAAGGGAAGTGTTGTGAGGTGATTCTGTAGAAAACTAGCCAATTCCCCCCTTTAGTTGTAATCTCTCAGCAAAGAAGTACTTGGAAATGGGTCCGTCTGAAAGCCGACACTTTTTTCTAACCTAGTTTCCTGTACTGAGAATTTAAATACCCTTAGTTTTTTCCCCCTCTCTCCTTCTAGTAACCATAAACAAAGGCCAGCACAGCACATTTGCAACTGACAGATCCACGCAGCTGATATTGTTTTCGACTTCTTTATGGTTCACTGGCCGCGCCATTACCGTCATTCATTTCACTAACCCTTTGGACAACTGACAGAG